TTCCTTATTGACAAACTGGGACATTATCACTTTTGTGAGTACATCCTATAAGGTTTCTAAAATAACTTCCTTTGAGATAATCACTATTAAGTTATATAGTGTCTTTTTAGACTTTAAACTATTCACCTCAAAAAGACAAGAGAAAGAAGAGCCAGAAGAAAGTATAAGGCCTTCCAACTACTTAAGTATGCTCATCCCATTCAATACCATCCAAACCACCAAATCCATGTTAACAGGAGATGTCAATATCATTCCACAAATATAAGTAATAAACTGGACTCTACAATATAACCTCATGATTTGTAAAGTAGGGACAATATATGTTTTTCATTTGATAGGGATTTAAATCTTAATCTTGTTTCACAAACACCTGTTAGAGGATATGTATGTGAAAATAATAAAAATGAAAGGGGGAAAAAGAAGCCCTCTTAATCTGGGATGGGTTTCTTTTCCAACAAGATTTTACATAAAATATATTGAGATTAAAGTTCAGATTTTGTAAACTAAAGTGAGAACTCTGCAAAATTTGTTAGGACAAGCTGTTTTCTGCAAATTTGCCAAAAGATACAATCATGCTTCTGAAAAAGTAGAATGTCTTGGTTAGCTTTAACCTTTCACATTGAGGTGTCATTGAGATAAACTCCAGCATTAATCTGATCTGACAATATTACTAAAATGTAAAATTAAAATATGAAAGATGTCAAATAACATTTTATTTTTCTAATATAAAAAAGTTCTACTCAAAATGTTTTCTTTAAATCACATGTATGATGCATTTGCAGTTTGTTTGCATTATTTTATGAAAGAAAAAATTTAAAGCATCAATAAAAATGGTATTCTGTAGCAAGGAATACTGACTGAACAAGAAAGCAAATGATAATAAATTTATCATAAACATTTCTAAACATTTCTATCAAGTACCAACATAATGAAAGGAACAGGAGTCTTTTATTTCTAAAGTCTTAGGAGGAAAAACAAACAAAAGCACACAGTGTTACTAATGGTATCTGCCTATTTTAAGGCATTGTACTTAATATGCATTCATCCCTGAACACAAAAAAAATAATCATCACCTATCCATACCTACAAAGCTAAACAGATAGGATTTGCCCAAAACTCACAATCCAAAGAAACACAAGGAACCACAATTCCCATATACTCACAATTATCTTGAAATAAACCTACATAGGTCGATTCCTTGTGAAGAAATAAAAAACCTCATACACTTTCCAGGAAAATATCTAAAGGAATAGGATATCCCATGTTTTCTACTTTCACATTTTTAAAACTGTATAAGAAATACATTATGGGTAAGTATTCTGATTGCATACCCTTAAATTCATCTAAGTTACATTCCTTAACTGGTGAAACAGTTCTATAAATAAATAAAATTTACAGGCTACATGAATTTTAAATATAGGCAAAGCCTACTAAAAAACTAATCATAGTCAGTACCATTTACAGTTGAAACTTCTACAAAATACACGTTCCATATCCATCAAAGTGTTTTATTTTCTTCTAAAGCAATTGTTTCGAGACAGCAAAGTAGGTAAACTCTGTGCTTGCCTTCTCCCACAACCACATTAAAATTACAACTAAATTATAGAACAACCATCATTGAGAGCCATCTGCAGACTAGCTGGAAGGAAGTCCTGTAACTGAGGATATAAAGGAGCAGCCATATCCAGACTGATAAGAGAGGTAGAGACACATAACAAGCAGGTCCCACATCCACAGAATGGCGATTAAGAATCAGGAGGGTAACTTGGCTGAGGAAATCCCCCTGGGGAGTGAAGAGGCCCAGCCCTACAATGGGTTCCCCAACCCAGGGCATGTGCCAGGAAGGGGAGTCCCCATAACATAAGGCTGGGAAAACCAGCAGAGATTGCATCCCATAAAGAGAAAAGGCTGCTAGACACCAAGATGCTGCAGGTCTTAAAGAGGCTGTGCATAGCTTCACTCACTAACAAACTCACTCGCTCTGGGGTCCAATGCAGAGAGAGCAGCTCAAAAAAGCAACTGCAACATATGGGAAGGAAGTAAACTGACTAACTACAGGGCCAGGACTGGAGGAACAGGAGTCAAGGTAACTTCCTCTGGGGACTGAAGAGCTGGCAGATACCACTATTGCTATGTTAACCCTCTCCCCACCCAAACAGTGTAGCACAAGTAGGCACCAAATCTGAGTATTCATTAACCTGGCTAACATTATTTACCCCTGCCCCAGTGACCCCCTGAAATCCAGCCCCACCCAAATCACTCCCTGGGCGCTAGCCTATTCCAGCAGCTCCTCCACAAAAGTGGCAAACCTAGGCTTATGATATAGATTTCGAAAAACCTCTCACAGGTGCACAAACCCCAACAAGCAGTGGCCAGCTTCAGCGTGCTATGGGGCACTTGATAAGTGGCCACTAGACTAGCACAAGCAGTACCACTGAAATTTGCATCACAACTCCCTTCAGGTGGCCTTAAGCCTGGCATAAGCAGTAGCTACTCTTGGGCTCGAATGCAGGTTGAATTAAGTGGCCACAAGCACAGCAGACTGGTGGCTGGACTCAGCTATCACTGTGGTATCCACAAAAAGGTCTCAAACCCAGCAAAAGAGGCAGACTGCCTCGATATGCAAACACAGACTCTCCCCAGAGCCTCCAAATCCAGCATAAGGACTAGCAACTGCAGATCACTTTGTAGCTCCTACCAAGAGGCCGAAAGCCCAACACAAGTGGAGGCTGACCTTGGCCTGCACAAGAGCCCCTCTCAAGAGGTTCCAGAACCAACACACCTGGTGGGGCTGGCTTCAGACCACAATAGAGCGCCAACCAACTAGCTCCACAAATGACACACCCGAAAGGTGAACTCAGAGGGAACCACAACCCCAATAAAGCGACTCCCACTCAATGAATTCAGCCTATGCACAACAGTTCCTTATGGCCCACACCAAAAGCCAGTCAGCCTCAGAGTCAAAAACACTGATTGAGTAGCAACAGTAATCTAGGCTCATCTAAAACAGGAGGGTACACACAACCCAAAAAAAAGGATACCCCTGGAACACCAAATTTGGGTGACCAGGGAGACTGTGGCACTGAGGCAGAAAAAACACCTTCTACTTAAGGCCACCATGTCAAGACTGGGAGACATAGCAGATCTACCTGATACGCAGAAACAAAAACAGGGAGTCGGCCAAAATGAGGAGACAAAGAAGCATGTCCCAAATGAAACAACAGGACAAAACTCCACACAAAAAACAAAATGGAGACAAGCAATCTCCAGATACAGAATTCAAAACACATTTATAGTGATGCTCAGTGAACTCAGGGGAAGAATAGCTGAACACAGTGAGAACTTCAACAAAGAGACAGAAGATGTGAATAAGGAGAATTTACGATACAGAGAATCAACAGATTAGTTGAAACAGAGGATCAAATCAATGATAAGGAAAAAAGGTAGTGAGGGAAAAATTACAGCAGCTCAAAGAAAAAATGAATTAAAAATAATGAAGATAGTTTAAGGAGACTCTGGGACAACATCAAGCATACCAACATCTGCATCATACAGGTATCAGAAGAAGGAGAGAGAGCGAGCAAGGAACTGAAAACCTATTTGAAGATACAATGACTGAAAATTTCCCTAACCTGGCAAAGGAAATAGACATAGGAGTCGAGGAAGCACAGAGAGTCCCAAACAAGATGAACCCAAAGAGGCCCACACCAAAATACAACATAATTAAAATGCCAAAGGTTAAAGACAGAGAATTTTAAAAGCAAGAGAAAAACAATTAATTAGGTACAAGGGTCCACCCATAAGACTATCAGCTGATTTCTCAACAGAAACTTTGCAGACCAGAAGGGATTAGAAAGAAATGTTCAAAGTGATGAAATCCAAAGACTCACAGTCAAGATTATTCTACCCAGCAAGGCTATCATTTAGAATTGAAGGAGAGATAAAGAGTTTTCAAGAAAAGCTGCTGAAGGAATTCATCACCATACACCAGTATTACATGAAATGTTAAAGGGACTTTTTTAAGAAAATAAAAAAAGTAAAGATCGAAAATATGAAAAAGAAAATATAAGAAAAAATTTCTCACTGACAAAGGCAAATATTTAGTAAAAGCAGTGGATCAACCAACTACGATAATAGTACAAGGGTTAAAAGACAAAAGTAGGAAGAGCTATATAAACACACTGATAAATTAGAGCAGCACTTTTCAACCGGTATGCCACAAGAATTTTTATTTATTTTTTATTTTTAAATATATCTTTATTGATTTCAGAGTGAGGAAAGGAGAGGGAGAGACAGAGATAGAAACATCAATGATGAGAGAGTCACTGATTGAGCCCGCAACCCAGGCATGTGCCCCGACAGGGAATCGAACCCCGATCGCCTGGATCCTAGGCTGACACTCAACCGCTGAGCCACGCCCGGCCAGGCACCACAAGAATTTTTAAAACATGCAGTTACCTAGCTATTTAGTCAGGAGCACTGCCCTCTTCTCCCTTAGATTGTCAAATAAAAAAATGACAACAGCCAACATAACAATAGACCTCAGGTGTGAATGAATCAAAATTAGATCTACTTTTTTGTCAGATCAGCAGAGTAAATAATTTCTGGTGTGCCACATAATTTCAGTAATTAGTTTATGTTTGCCATGAGATGAAAAAGGCTGAAAATGGCTGAATTAGAGATATACACAAGCATACAAAAAAAGTAAAAAATGACAAAAACATAAATGTGGAGGTGAATAAAAATTGTAGTGATTTTAGAAAGTGTATGGACTTAAGAGACCAACAGTTTAAAATAGACTTTGCTATAAATAGGCTTGGTATGTATGAAGCACATGGTAACCACAAACCAAAATCTGTAAGAGTGGTACAATAAAGAGAAAGAAATCCAAACATAGCACTACAGAAAGCCATTTACATGAGAAGAAAGCAAGAGTTTAAGAAAGAGAGAACAATTTAAAAAATCAGAAAACTATTAATAAAATGGCAATAGCTACGTACCTATCAATAATTACAGTGGAATCTCAGTTCTGGAACCTAATCCGTTCTGGAAGGCTGTTTGAGAAGTGATTTGTTGGAAAACCAAATCATTTTTTCCCATTAGAAATAACATAAGCTGAGTAACTGGTTCCAGATCCTCAAAAGCAAAAAAACAACAACATGAATATATTCACAGCACAATTTCCTGTGATGTTAACAACTTGAGCAGTAAACTGAATTGTACTCCGAGCATTCTCTCCTTTGTTGGTCTCCTGAGAGACACATGACTGATCATACAGGTATCAGCATGAAACAGTTGTCATGTCAAGAACTGAAGTTTCGTTTGACAACTGAGACATTTTTTCTGCAAACAACTTGGTGTAGAAACAAATTGTTTGAGATGGAAGATGGTGAAAAACTGAGGTTTGACTGTGCTTTAAATGAAAATGGATTAAAAGTTCCAATCAACAGACCTAGGATAGCTAAATGGGTAAGAAAACAAGGCCCATACGTATGCTGTTTTCAAGGGATCCACTTCAGATCAAAAGACACACAGAGACTTAAAGTAAAGGGATGAAAAAAGGTATTTCATGCAAATAGAAATGAAAAAAAAACAGTCTGTTATATCAGGCAAAACAGATTTTAAACAAAGGCTGTAACAAGATATAGAAGAGAATTTCATGATACAGCAATCAATCCAACAAGAGGATGTATTCTTGTAAACATCTATGCAACCAACATAGAAACACCCAGACATATAAAACAAATATTGGTGGACATAAAGAGAGAGACTGACAGTAAGACAACAATAGTAGGGGAACTTAACACTCTATTGACATCAATAGACAGATTATCCAGACAGAAAATCAACAAGGAAACAATAGCCTTAAATGACACATTAGGCAACATGGACTTAATCTATGGTATGTTCAGGACATTACACTCCAAGGCAGCATAATATACATTCTTTTCAAGAGCACATGGAACATTTTCCAGAATACACCACACGTTAAGACACAAAACAAGTGTCAGCCCTGGCTGGTTTTGATCAGTGGTTAGAACATCGACCTGCAGACTGAAGGACCTTGGGTTTGATTCCAGCCAAGGGCACATAACTCGGTTGCAGGCCTGATCCCCGACGCTCGTTAAGGTGCATGCGGGAGGCAGCCAGTCGATGTCTCTGTCTTTGTCTCTGTCTCTCCGTCTCTCTCTCTCTTCCTTTCTCTCCCTCCCTCTCTCCCTTCCACTCTCTGAAAAGTAATGGAAAAAATATCCTCGGTGAGAATTAAAAAAAAACACATACAAAACAACAAGCATCAATAAATTTAAGAAGGAGGAAACCATTCATCTTCTGTAATACAATGGTATAAAACTAGAAATCAATTACAAGAAGAAAACTAAGACAAGCATGTGGAAGCTAAAAAAACATACTAATAAACAATGAATGTGTTAACAATGAGATCAAGGAAGAAATCAAAAGATACCTTGAGACAAATGAAAATAAAAATACAACCACCCAAAATTTACAGGACACAGCCAAAACAGGTCTAAGAGGGAAAGTCATAGCAATACTGACCTACTTCTAGAAGCAAAAAAAAACCTCATTAACAATCTAACTTAAACTCTACAGCAAACAAAACCAAAACTGGTAGAAGAGAGAAAATAATAAAGACCAAAGCAGAAGAAATAAGTGAAACAGAGTCCAAAAAAATAATTGAAATGATCAATGAAACAAGAGCCAATTCTTTGAAAACAAACAAAATTGTTATACCTTTAGCCAGACTAACTAAAGGGGGGGGGGGGAAA